ATTTTACTCAATTATATAATAGTGCATCTCATTTAAAGCATGCAGTTTACTCATATGTTTTCGTTTCTCTCTTATTTAACATGGTATAAGAGCCTAACAAGAAACAAACTCTGATTCGTGCCAACCCGATGGACCTATTGCTTGCCAATGATAAAAAATAAATTTCTCGAAAACTGTGTCATCCTCTCTGTTTCTGGTATTTATTCCATAAACGTCCCTACAACATTATTTTTAGTTGCAACCATTCAACGTCTCCAGTCATCGTCGGCCACTTTTCCAGCGAATGTCCACCTCCAACTGCCGTCAACCACCGTGTTGGAGCATTTTTCTTGTTAGTTTTCATGTGAGCCACCCATTAATTGGACCGCCATCTCATGACAGTGCTATCTATACCGGTCCACCCCCCTCTCAACGGAGCAAGGACACGCTCACACGCACCAAACAAAGTAGCGACGCCATCTCACCATTAGCACATGCGTGGGACGTCTGTTCCTTTTACGACTTAGCCAAACTTGGTCGTTGTCTTCCCCTAATTCTTCATTTATTCCCTTTGGGTTGATCAGAGCTTGTTTCGAGGTACATGCTATTGCCCGCACACGTTTTTGGTTTTCCAGTACTCGTTCGTTGTCTTTACCGGTTACCCATGATTGACTCTCACTAGTCACTCTAGTAACATGTTCCCTGATGTTCAAGAGCCCGAGGTGACTATTTTTAGCAATTATGTTCATGCTTCGTTTTGCGTGCACAAATTGGATGGTTCTAATTATAACTCTTAGGCATCTGACATTAAACTTTGGCTCGGGGGACAAGATTACAGTGATCATCTCATCACCACTGCTGAATTTGTAACTGCTGCATTGCGTCCTAGGTGGAAGAAGATTGATTCCTCCGCACTTGTCTCCAAGGGATCTAGTCCGCAAACCTTCCAAGGGTCGTCCTCATTGTACTTATTATAACAAGCCAGATCATACTGTTGATCAGTGTTGGGACCTTCATGGAGGCCCTCCTCGCTCGGTTTAGGTTTTCTCTTGATTCTCACTCATCTGTTGCACAACCTCTAACTATTTTCACCGACTTCATGAAATGGTATGCGGAGCATCACGTCCCCGGTTCCATTGACTCTGTTGCACATACGGGTAATTCCTTTGCTGGTCTCACTCAGTCGCAATCTCTTGGTCCTTGGGTTCTCAACTCTAGTGCACTTGATCATATTTCTGGTAATAAGTCTATATTTACTTCTCTTTCTACATCTGGTTCCCTGCCCAATATCACTATGGCTAATGGTTCATTGGTTCAATCCCATGGGATTGACACAGTTCAACTTTTTCCCTCTCTATCTATTGATAATATGCTTTATATCCCTAATTCTTCTTTTAACCTCATTTCCATTAGCCAATTAACTCATTCTATTGATTGAACTATTTCCTTCATTAAAAACTCTGTGATTTTGCAAGACTGGAGCTCGGGGAGGATGACTGGCGCCAGATTTGAGTTCATCTGTCTTTATCAGCTTTCCACCTCATCCCAAGTCTGCCCTGCGGTGGATTCATCCAAGCCTTGGTAAATTTCAAAATATGGTACCGTGTTTCTCTAAGCTTATCATGTGAGTTATGTCAGTTAGAAAAACACATTCGTAGTTCGTTTCCCAATCGAGACAGTTGTCGGTCTTCCTTTCCATGTGCTTTAGTTCATTCAGATGTTTAGGGTCCTAGTCGTACAATATCCACTATAGGGTTTAGGTACTTTGTTATTTTTATTAATGACTATTCCAGATGTACATGGTTATTCTTAATAAAAACCGGTTTGAATTGTTTTTCATTTTTCACCAATTCTTCAATGAAATATTTACTCAATTTGTTGTTTCCTTTCGCATGTTTCTAATGATAATGTCCATGAATATTTATCTCATCAATTTCAAACTTTCTTTGCATCTCATGGCATCGTTCACCAGACATCTTGTTCTCACACCCCTCAACATTATAGGGGTGTTGAATGCAAAAACCGTCACCTCATGGAAACCATTTGTGCCTTTTTACTACATGGTCATGTCCCATTCCAATTTTGGGGAAATGTTGCCCTCATAACATGCTATCTCATTAATCGTATGCTCTCACTTGTCCTTAATAATCAGGTATCTCACTCTATCTTATTTCCTCATCAACCGCTACACCAATTGACCCCTCACATTTTTTGTTCTACTTGTTTTGTTCATGATCTTAGTCCTGTTCGTGATAAATTATCTTCCAAGTCCCATAAATGTTTTTTTGGGGTATCCTTGCTCACAAAAAGATTATCGTTGTTACTCTCCCAGTCTTCGTTGGTACTTTATCTCTGCCAATGTTACCTTATTTGAGTTTGTGCCATTTTGTGGCTCCACCTCCTTTCCTAGTGACCCTGTCCAGACACCGTTACCACCTGTTCAGATTGAGTATACCCCTCCACCTGCAGATGACCCTACACCAGATCCGCCTATGCCCCAGGAAATTGACACTGTTGATACTGAAGTTCCTACAGACTCACCTCTATCGTCATCTCCACCTACGGCTCTGGTCCCACCCTCTAACATTGACCTACCCATTGCTTTCTGTAAAGGTACTCGTAACTCTCATCTGCCACCCAGGTACTTGGTTAATATGAGATATCATCGTTTTTTTTCATAACATTTTGCTTGCCTATCCTCTTTGTCTTCTATAACTATTCCTAAGATAACAGGTGAAACGTTATTAGATCCCGGATGAAGACAATCTATGCTTGATGAAATGTGCACTTCAGAGTAGTAGTACCTGGGGTTTGGTTCCTCTTCCCTCTGGGAAATCTATTGTTGGTTGCAGGTCAATTTTAACTATCAAGGTTGGTCCTGATGGTCAGGTGGATCATCTCAAGGCTCGACTGGTGACCAAAGGATACACTCAGGTGTTTGATCTGGATTATGGGGACATATTCTCCCCTGTGGCAAAAATGACATTGGTTTGCCTTTTTCTGAGTATGGTTGCTATCATTGACCTCTCTATCAGTTGGATATTAAAAACACTTTCCTATATGGAGATCTTGCGAAAGAAGTCTGTATGGAGCAACCTCCAGGGGTTGGTTCTCAGGGACAGTCTGGTTTGGTTTGCAGCCTTCGCAATTCTCTATATGGTCTCAAACAATCTCCTAGTGCTTGGTTTGGGAGATTTAGCACTGTTATTAAACAATTTGGTTTGACTCAGAGCGAAGCTGACCACTCACTGTTCTATCGCCACTTAGTTTCAGGATCCATTTATTTAGTGGTGTATGTTGACGATATTGTCATTATAGGTAATGACCATCATGGCATTACTCAAGTAAAACAACATCTTAGCCACCATTTTCAGACAAAGGATCTTGGTAAACTTCGATATTTCTTAGGTATAGAAGTAACTTAATCCAAGGATGGCATTGTGATATCCCAGAGGAAGTATGCTATGGATATTCTCGAGGAAAAACCTCTGTTGAATGCAAAGCCAGTTGACACTCCTATGAATCCAAAAGTCAAGCTTCTAGGGGGAGCCGTTCTTTGATCCAAAAAGGTATAGAAGATTAGTTGGGAAACTAAACTACCTCATAGTCACTAGACCGGATATTTCATTTGCAATTAATGTAGTGAGTTAGTTTCTTAACTCTCCTTGTGAAGATCACTGGAATACAATAATTCGTATTCTCAAGTACATCAAGTCAGCTCCAAGGAAAGGTCTCTTCTACGGGGAAACTTCTACGGGGACAAAGGTCATACTAAAGATGTGAGATACTCAGATGCTAATTGGGCAGGTTTTCCTATTGATAGGAGATCCACCTCTGGATACTGTGTGTTTATTGGAGATAACATACTCTCCTGGAAAAGCAAGAAGCATAGCATGGTTGCCAAATCGAGTGCTGAAACTGAGTATTGCTCTATGGCCACAGCCACGTGTGAACTTATCTGGCTAAAACAACTACTCAAGGAGTTGAAGTTTGGTTACAGTGAGGCAACTACTCTCATTTGCAACAATCAAGTTGTCTTGCATATTGCCTCTAATCTAGTATTTCATGAAAGAACTAAGCACATTAAAATATATTGTCATTTCATCAGGGAGAAGGTCTTATCAGGGGAGATCGTTACACAATTTGTCAACTCAAATGATCAACTAGCAGATATCTTTACTAAGTCCTTGCAAGGTCCTCGAATAGATTACATATGTAACAAGTTTGGAGCTTAAGATTTATTATTTATATGCTCCAGTTTGAGAGAGAGTGTTGAATATATCGTATATAGAGTAACCTAGTGTATGAGAAAAAGTCTCACATCGTCTAATTCTCATGTATATCCTCTTTTACTCAGTTATATAATAGTACCTTCGTTGTTCATCTAAAGCATGCAGTTTACTCATATGTTTCTCATTTCTCTCTCATTTAACAAATACTATTCTTTTGGTTTCATGACATTAGCGTGTATCAGCTTGAATTCAGTTTTCTATGTGTATATGGTGGTAAAATTAAAATGCAGGGATTTGAAGTGGTGTTGCTAGACAAAGCAACCGAAGAACACATACTCGTTCCTGCAATGGAGGCATTGTATAGAAAGGACATAGAAGGCGCAAGGAATTTACTGAGAATAGCAATCCATGTTCTTTTGGTAAGGGAAGTGAACGTGGTGATTCTGGCATCTGATGATTTGCTGGGGGTTTTCCCTCACAATGATCCTATTCTCAGGAAGTGTATAGACCCCATGGATGCTTTGGCCAGGTCAACTATACATTGGGCAGAAACAACAGCCATCATACATGAGAAATGTTAGTATTCCCTTCTTCCAAAAGCCTAGCATAAAGATTGGAGTATTTCTGTGAAAAAAACAGCTCCATGTAGACAGAATTTCTCCTTTGCCGGTGCACCTTCCTTTGATAGAAGAATAAAAAGAGAATTTGCTGTGTAGTTTGGTGAGAATAAGATCATTTGCAAGGTAAAGCAAGAAACAAAAATGTAACCATAACAGAAAGCAGACGGTCTTCTACTAATATTAATAAGTTCATTGATGATATAGAATATTTGGTGTACATGAAAAAAAATAATGCAAATTTAGAAGTCGAGCTGTCTAATTCAAGGAGTGCAGAATGATACATAACACTAATAAGATAAGCTTTATTTTCAAAGCTGCTAATTTCAGCCACTCCTAACAATTTGTCATAGAACCGATAGGTTGTTTTGAATTGCATTCAATACCATTTACTACATTTTGATCTGAGAAGGCCCAAGAGGAAATAAGGTGATGGGCTATTGCGAAGGGTCCTGGAACAAGTATTGGAGCATTTTCACCACTTTCCACGTTGAAATCTGCAGCCAAGCTCCGATTCTTTTCCTCTCCCTTACACATTTTTTCTACCTTTGCTGCTGCAGTTCTTTGGGCTTTCTTGTAGTTAGCAAAAGTCAATGCTTTTCTTACATCTTCTCTACTGTACCACTGAGCATCTAGATAAACAAGTTGCTGAATCAGTTGTTGACAGATCCAATCAACAAAAGCAAATGAAATGGGAGAATGCAGTGTGGGGAGGAAGCAAATGCTTTATGATGTTAAATCATTGCATTATTTTATTTTTTTCATAAAAACATGTCATAAAAAAGGAGTAGATTGCAAATGGGAGTGAAGGAAAACAAAAAACAGTCTTTAATTTCCTAAGGCTTCATCTACTACTATCTATCTTCCCCGCTCTTTTTGTCAATGTTTCCACAAACAAAAGAAAAGCTCAACTCAACAGTGTTTTCTGATTTATCGCAAAACACAATTTCTCATGATATCTGACCAAAAACTTGCTGCATATCATTTCATAATATTGAAGCAAACACCTTGCAAAAGAAAAAAAAATAAAAAATCATATGGATATGTACATAACTCAAAGGAAAATACTTGCATACACCATGTGTATGCACATGGTACAGCTGAGATTATGCCATACAAGTCTGACACCTGTACAGCCGAGAATTGAGGCACTCCACAGACATACACACGTTATACGTAAGTCTGTCTCACTCACAAATAGGTTTTTACAAGTTAACTAACCACTTGAAGTCATGCATAAAAATAAAGGAAAATATGGAAGCATCCGGGGGTTAATAACTAAATTCAATTATACAAGGGAGGTTACTGTACCTTCTAACTCTTTCTTGTCCACAGTTATTTCAAGGGATTTTGCATATGCAAAGAACCCAACCATCAGCTGGTATGGAATGCTACTTGGTCCAACTAGAAACAAAGACAATTGAAATGGTGTTATTAATAGACGAAAAAAGGGAGAAATATATTTATAATTTCGATGAGAAAAATAGTAAAACACACATAATTATGTTAATTGATCATTGCATTAGATTATGTTAACTTGTACTTAACTGTTTCTGAAGGTTGCCTACATATGAGAAAAATTATAAGTTTCAAATAGAGTTAACATATTCGAGATGTTAGCTCTGATTTGAGTTAGCTTGAACATGACCAAACCACCACAGAACTGCAAGTGATTAATATGAAGAAAATAATTTATTCACATCCTCCAATAGCCACATGCAACTAAGCAGAAAGTAAGGGGAAAAAAAGATTGACGGAAGTTCTGCTGATAATAACTGAGATGTAAATGAGTTGAGCTATTCGAAAATAATTTGAGCATTAAATGCTTAATCAAGTTCATTTGTTTAACTAAACTGTTAGAGATGTTATTATAAAACCATGATGTGTCTTTACCTAATAGTCTAAGCTTTTCGGATAGTTGGTTTATAACATTGTATCAGAGCTTCTACAATCATGTGGTCTAGAATTCGATCCTTATCGTCCCCATTCTTTGGATTTTTGTGTCAGGATACGTATTAGAAACAATTTAGGCTTGATTTGTAAATCAGTCAAGTTCAAAGTTTATAAATAATATTTTCTATCAGGCAGTTATAATCTCACTAGTTATAAACTAGTGAGTGGTTTATAAGTTTATAAATAATTCGATCCTTATCGTCCCTATTCTTTGAACTCGCTAGTCGAATTTAATTGGGAAGTGATTTTTTTTTTAGGCAGTTATAAACTCAGAAGTCAGAACCTCAAATGTCTCTCATATGCAAACAAAAGAGAAACAAAAAAATCAAAAAAGAAAAAAGTTAAATTATCATCAACTAATGTAGCATAAGTTATACCAGGCCATGGCTGAGAACTGTGATATACAACTTCTCCAACTTCAATACCAGTCTCTTCCCATGTTTCTCTTCTTACAGCTTCCTCCAAGCTTTCACCTGGCTAAATGCAACAAGGGGATACAAACTAATAGAATTTTTATATGTATGGAGAAAGCATCAAAACTAAAACAACGAAGAAATCATCCCAGCAAAAAATGGATTCTTAAGCCGCTAAAACCAGGCTTTATTGGCATCTCTTTTCCTTCTAAGGAGAAGGTTGAACTTTTCACAGATCAAAATCTACAGTATTTTTGTCTGCCAGCACCGACAATACTTACCAATTAAAAGATCGAAAGGAAGTCCAAGAATTTCAGATCACATAAATGGGAGTTTTCTAGGATCACAAACAGAAAAAATGTCATTTTAGAAAAAGAAATACCATGGCCATTGCCTAATATCGGTCACAAATTCAAATGTGTTACTTCTCTAATTAGTCATTTAATGCTAGATAACGGGAATAAGGTATGCAGTTTCATGCTATAACCATAAAACCTTTTTGAGTCACAACAAAAATGAAAAGGTCTTATAAAATGGGTCAAGACATGCACCTCTGTGAAACCTGACAAGCAGCTCCACAATCGAGGTAGAAGCATCGATCGTTTACTCAAAAGGGCACGGTCGTTCTCCCTATCAATTACTAGCATAATAACCACCTGCATAAGATCATATGACTACAAAACACTTGAGCAAAACACTTGATGATCATCCATTTATCTAATCAACACTTAGAACAGAAGACAACAAACCGGGTCAACACGTGGATAGATCCTCTTTTTGCATGAATCATTTGAACATTGCTTCCGTCTCCCAGCTTCCATTGGGACTGTTTTCTCTCCACAATGTCCACAAAATCGTGAACTATTATGCCATCCTAGCAGCACCTTTGCCTGGCCAAAACCAGTAATTAGGAAGTTGCAATGACATTCCCTCCTTATCAGTATCATAGACTAAACTAAAGCATGATTATTTTATTGCATAATTGCAGGAAGCTTCAACAAAACTTTAGTATTTAACACCAACGAATCTGATGGATTCACTAGCAATAACAAAACTACTTGAATTTATCATGTTACAAAATAACTTACATGACCAGCAATAGCCAAGTTTCCCATTGCTTGCAAATCCTCCCAGTTGGTAGCTACCATGAGCGTTCTGAGCTCAACAAAACAGAACTCCATGTTGCTACTCAATTCAGGTGCCATGGCAGAAACATCGATTGCCCAGTAAACGGTGTCGTCTTCAGCACTCGAACCCAGATACACCAAAGAGTCTCCACTCAACTGGGCACCAGAATTTTCCAAGATACCCCTGAGATCGTCCAAACCGATCCAACCCAGATGCCAAATCGGCGGCGAGTCGCCGAGCCCGGCCGTGGAAGAGGCTAAGGGATTTCCATTTCTGAAAAGAAGCACCTTGAAATTCGGGGAAGACGAGGAACGAGTGTTGTCGAGAATTCGGGCGTTAAGGGCTTCAAGAGCTGCTGAAGGTGAAAAGGGATCACCGGATATTGGGAATTTGGACAGTAGAGGGTTGCCGGCGAAGGCATGAAACTGCAAGTTAATGGACATGGTGGCGGTGGTGGTGGAAGCCTTATGTTGGAAGCAAGCTCTTATTAGAGACAGGGTTTGTTTGGTTTCGGACTCTGTTACAGACAGACACAGAATTTGGAAAAGTTTGCAGAGGAAGAAGGAAGAGTGTAGGTGAGTTTTGACTTTTAATAAATGGTCAATGATGAGACAAAAGGTAGCTGATCATTGGTCATTGAACAGTGTTCATGGTTTTGACACGCGTCTCGATTGTGAATTTTAGTTTTAGGTCCCACTAAATATCTTCTTATATTTTATTTTATTTTTTTCGTTTTGCATACTTTTCGAGGGCTTTGCCATCTGACTACTTTTCTATGAACAACACCGTTCTTGTTGTTTGATTGATTACTTACATACGATATTCATGACTATATTGCCACATAACCTACGAAAAGTGATAAGAAATACCTACTACTTCGAATTTCATACGACAATGGACGTGCTCTTGCGATCAAAAGGAAAATAATGTTAAATGTATATATTATTTTTTGATTTTATAAGAGTTATGTTTTAGGAAAAGTGATTGTGTCATGTTACTGAGATTCGTTCTGTGTGCCTTAGTTTTTTTTTTTTTTTCTTCAAAAAATGCGGGTCCCACAAATATTGTGTGTGTAGAAAGTTTTACCATATCATGTTAAAAGACAAACGAAAATCCCATTATTTTATAGGGTTCCATTTTTCTTGTGGTGTTGAAAAAAATGACTTCATGCAAAAAAAGAAAAAAAATTTATATATTACTAATAGTATATGATAAAATTATTTTTCTTTTCTGCCACGTCAGCCTACAATATTTTATGAACGACAAAAACAAAACAGTTTTAGTACGTAGTTATTTTTTTATTTTTTTATGAAATAACTTTTTTTCCAGACAACATAGTAAAAGGATTTCCGTATTTTATATTTGCATCATTTTTATTATTTAGCTACACTTTCACTTTATTTTTGTCACATATTTTAAGTGTAAGCATATGTCTACATAGTTTATCTGCAACTAAGCTTTATCCAATGTTAAAACTTTGAAGGACCAATTATAAACAACAAATACCAAATAATCACATTTTCATGCACCAATAGAAATAAAGTAGTATAGTTCAACTTGTTCATGGCCTGAATTGGGATCAGAAAATTTGACAATTGTTGAACCAAACCCAGTATCCCACACAACGTCCTCAGAAATTGGTTCTGAGCCACAAATGTCTTAGTTCTTAAATATGTAAAGAATCATTTTTGTTTTATTTTGATAAGTACTAAAGAATCATTTTAACCCAAAATTTAAAGTGTTGGGTGACGACTTTTTAATGATTTTATATTATTATTTAACACAGCTCCTCATGTAAGAACCATTTGAATTTGAAAGGTGGATATTACATAAATTCAATTTTTTTTATTTTTTTATGCTTATTTAATTCCACAAGTGAGGAGCGGTGAAGATCGAAGTCATGATTTTATAATCACTGAAGCAAGAACCACCTCAAGCCATTCTGAACCACAAATATATTTATCCTCTCGAAATGATCCCAGAACCAAAGAATACGGGAGGAGGCCGCACGACATCACGGAACTCGGCTGTCACCCCAGACTCCCATGACGCTCCCCTCCTCAGTCCGGCTGGGAGAGCTGCGGGGCAGGGGTGCCCCGAGGAAGAGTAATTACGGCATGCGTTCCGCCCCCAATAGCCGAGACTGGAGGGTCGGGAATTCCATCAATATCCGTATTCTCTTCGTCGTCGGTAAGATCCAGGATGGAGACCCCAGAATTCAAAGCCAGGGTGGAAGCGGCTGCAACTGGGCTAACCGTCCTTGGCCTCTTAGCCGGGGGTGCAAGCGGAGCAGGCGTTTGCCCTGTTATCGAAAAAATGTATTCCGGACCGGCCCCCTCATCTTCGTCAAAATTCATGTCGGAACCTGCAAACAAAACAAGTTATAACAGTAACAGGAAAGTGACACAGTTAGCAGGATTTTAAATAGCACAAAGCATACTGATGGGCTCTGGGGCGGACTCTGAGGTGGAATGAGATCTGACTACTAGAGAAGCCGCGCTCAGATGACCCTTGGAACCCACATGGGCCAGCAAGGTCTGGGCACTAGCTTTATCCTCTTGTGACAATCTCAGCTTGAAGTCGGCTGGCTTGCGCTGGTGATGATCCTGAGTCCAGTACAAGGGAAACTTCGGCTCCCCATCATCACCAATAAACCATGGCCTCTTCCCTACCTCGGCCACCACTTTAAAGAAGTAGGCTTTGAAGCCTTTAAAAGAATCTATATACACAGAAAACAGCCTTCGCGAGGGTTTGCTAACACGGCCTCGAATACTGCTCCACCCCTTAAGTTCAGGAGGTTCCGACCCGGTACGCGAAGTATAAACAGTAAAGAAATGCAAAAACAAGGAAACAGTACACGGAAGGGACAACGAGTTGCACAGCTGCTCAAAAGCAACAACATAAGCCCAGCCATTGGGATGAATTTGGGTGGGTGCGAGCAGCCGGTGGTTCAGGAGCTGTATCTTGAATGGAGAAAAGGGAAACCGAATCCCAATCTTCGTCACCAGATCCCGGTAGAAGAAAAAAGAATGTGGCTCCTCAGGGTTCCGGCCTGAGCAAACAGGTTCGTCATCAGCAGGAACGAACGTGTTGAAATCAACCGGGTTGCCAATGGGAAGCCCGAACACTTCTTCGGTTGTCATCTCGGAGGCAACACCTCTTCCGTAACCCAGGGATATTGGGTACGAAGATTATCGGTTACTGGAGCAGAACCCTTCTCGGCCATACTCACCCCGGCCTCTGGACCTTGGCTAGAAGAAGCGATATTCGCATTTGATTCTGTAGAATGGGACTCCATAAATACCTAGAACAGTAAAATGGAGGATTAAAAAGCAAGAATAGCACGTAGCAAAGGGGATACGTACCCGAATTAAACAAACTACTTTCAGAGGAACTAGAATCATCAGATGCAAAAATAAAAGCAAGGGTTGGTGAACTTGGAGTGTGTGAGCAGCTACCCAAAACTAGGTTGGCCATGAAGTCATTCCTCCTCTCCACAAATTGAGCACTAAGGTATACGCAGTTGAAGCAAGGTTCAGGGTTGGTAATATTAGGACGAGAGGGGACTCTCGCACTCTGGTTCGGAAAGGGAACAGGTGTAATAACGTGAATCGGGCAGAACCTAAGGAAAAAGGGGGAGTTGCCCTGGACGGGTTGCCTAAGCTACGGGGACCAACGTTTCGACCCCGGGCTGAAGGACCAGAGGAAACCCTTCTACCTCGAAGACCCCCCCTACGACCACGGACTGAAGAGCGAGATGAAGAGGCTCCCCTATGGCCACCACCTCGATAGCCGCCTAGCAAAGCAGCCTGCGTTTCTTCCTCGATTCGAGGCCTGCCATACAACTAGTACCTCGAACCAGGAGGCAGGCTCTGAATGAACCTTTCCTCTTCTTCCGCAAGTCGTCCTTCCTCTTCGGCATCAATTTCATCACCACGACCGAAGATGCGGGGGCAAGAGGATCTTCCTCAAATGGTATAATTTCTCTCACCCATATCAGAAACTATTCAAAGCAGGGTGTGCAGGAAGTGAACAAACAGCAGATAAGCTTATATAGACAATGCAAGACTAGTGCAAAAGGCATAAGCAAGCAAAACAAATGATGCGTCGCACATACAGAAAGACAAATGCAAAGGGACAAGCAGGTAAGTGGGTCTGGAATAAAGAAAAGCATTGCAAAACCAAAAGCCATGGGCAAACTGAGAAGTTAATGGAGAATACATCAGAAAGGGAAGGCATGCTGTAGGAAAATACCTGTGGAGAGAGGTGTTGAAGAAGCCGGAGATTGACAAACGCAGGAGATGGTGAATGTTGAAGGAAAATGTTGGGTGTTGTCGAGCGATTCGAGATAGTAACGAAGGCAAATGAACGATTGGTGAGACAAATGGTCTGAAGGGAAAATTGAGGGTGATAATATGGGGACAGGAATTGAAAGGTTAAGCTCGCGAAAGCCAAAGGGCAGGGGCGTTGCGGTAATTGCAGGGTAGACAAGACAGTTGAGAGACGTTTTTGCAGAGGCATTAAATGCTAAGGCGGCAAGAAACGCACGAAGCCACACGTTGAGCCTATTGGAAAGGAGTACATGGAAAGGTAATCATTAGAGGGAATGGAAACCGTTTCTCACTTCAAAGCAATCATCAGAAAGCAGTTAAATACAATCATTCTCTGCGTTGCCGACATGAGTAACCGAGTTTCTAGTCTCAGAGGGTCGTATGCCTTAAAATCCGGCAAATTAACCCGGATGACAACTTCCGTAGAACACCCTGGATGAAAGTATGCTTGTAAGACCGGGGAAGACTTTCCCTTTTGAAGCCAAGTGGAAAAGCCGAAATAGCAAAACGGTCAGGTGACCAACATCTGAGTCAAAGCACAACAATCGACTTGACTTGGACATCCCGGCAAATTGAAGGCTCAGTCTACCGGGCTGGGGGGCAACTGTTATGGACCAGGAAAAGACCCACGATGACAAGTCCAACCTACACAAGCCCAAAGGTAAGCTCTATAAATAAGGGCTAAAGACCACAGGTATGACTGATCTCTCTAACCTTATTTCATTCAAACACCACAGTGCACACACACACCCTTTCTGGCTAAGGCCATCATATAGTGTGTAGTGATTCGCTGTCCCCAAGATACCTAATTCATAGGTATCTAGAGAGAAAGCTACAGATCCAATATCAAACACCCGACCTACGGTCGGACACGTCTGCACAAGGCAGAACAATTTGAATTCTTAAATCCATCAAAATCCCTCTGATGTACTGAATTGTACATCTCTAACTAAAAAACTATGAAAATTAACATAAAAAAAGAAGTAATAACAAATAAAACTATGAACTGATCACACTGTCAATCAGTGACCACATTTTCAAAATTCTGTGTTTGCGGGGTCAGAATTTAATTTCCTAATCCAAAAGACGGGTGTTTTCAAAAGCACAAACTCCTACTCAGCTATCCACTCTACTTGGGAAGTTGTCAAGAAGCGGTAAATCGTCAAGCCAATCAGCATAAATTCTATTGATCTTCTTTGGTCCTTTCCACTTCAGCAAACTCTTGTTACCCTGCTCCTCTTCACTTGCCGGAGGTAGACTTGTTGTGTAGTTAGGAGGTGCATCATTGGTAGAAACTGATGTAGCTTTTGGTAAAGTTGGAAGGGTAGCTTTAGTTGAAATTGAAACGGCACCTGCAGTTTCTGCTTCAATGCGTCCACCAGGAACTTGTAACTCTGGTTGCAAGACAACAAATGCTTAGGAGTCAGGAGAAGAGAGATGGCAACCAAACAATTTTACTTGTGAAAATAACCGTACTTGTCTATATTATATTTTTTGTTCAAAACAAGTTATCATACGCTAATGAAAGTACATTCCAATTATTTGATGAGCCGGGTATCAAATTTCTAAGACAAACATTAGCAGATATCAAAGGGGGGAGGGGGAACTAAGATAAGATGAACTTGATATAATCAGCAATAATATTTAGAATCATGTGCAAAGGTGATGTCTCAATCATATGATATATTTAAAAGACAAAAGCTATCATGTAGGCCATGGTTATATCGTACAGTCACTTGGGTGTGTGAAATTGGAAATGCAGAATTTCATTCATACATAATGTATGCCTTAGACAAAGCAATCACTAATCATACAAGTGGTCTACTACTTCTAAAGTAAAGTAGATTCTGTTGCACAAAAAAAAAATACCAAATGCTCATCTAGAACATACTTCGCCTAGAAACAAGGGTGAGATCAGGATCCATATAATGTGATAAACTACCTTAGGAAGAATGATTTTGGAAGGGCAAGGCAAAGGGACAACGAGTAGGATGGGAAAGTTTATGTCAAATCATTCATTGCTCAAGATATCATGCACAACAACCATAATGACACACATTCCAGTACATAATGTGTATGTTGTTTGGGCACATGGTGATCTATGATCTCTTTACAGATCACTAACAAGTACAACATCACAGAAAATGATCAACTACACATCATCTAGATAAATCATAAATAAGAATTCATATGATTGAAGAGAACAGAACAAAACAAAACAGCAGAATTCTGGCAGAAACAAAACCAATAATTAAAAGGGGAGGGGGGAAATCAACATACAGAATTGTTCTTAGTACCTGCATGCCCATGAGCATAGTGACAGTCCTCCCCAAAGGGGCAGTAGCCTGTTCTCTCCCACTTGATACATAGTTTGGTCTTCCAATAAGTAGACTTTACGATTCCCCTGGAAACATTTAAGCCTGTGTTCACAGATCTATTACTTTCTATATTACTAAAGCCATTCACGTAGGACTTTGGGGATCCATTATCAGTTCCTATGCTTATTGCTGAGCTCTCCCTGAACTTGGTGGGGTCTTCATGAAGAAAACTACAGTTATCACCATAGGGACATTCCTCCCCATTGTAATACTTCTTGCACAGCTTCATCTTATGAATAAATTTCTGGTCAGCATCCCAATTCCCCGATGATGACCGTTCTTCATTGCGTGAGCCAATAAGCTCCTGCCAATTTGGCGGTGGCTGCCTAATGTCTTCAAACCCATGTGCAAAGTTGCAATTTTCACCGTTCCTACAATCACCAAATTTGAACTTTGCACAGATGCGGGTCTTGAAGAAAATGTGGCTCGTTCTTTTGTTGGCTGAGGGGTTCTGGGGGGGCTGAATCATCCTGGGAGGGCATGCCAACGCATTGGAGTGGTTGCTATCAGAAATCCTGGCCCTCTTGAATGAAGGGGGTTGATCGAATGATGAATGTGGGTCGAATGGTTCGTTGTTCATCGGGAATTGAAGACTCACGTCAATAGCATCGTTGTTTGCGGCAAATGTCGGCGGTGACATCACCATAAAAGGTGGGAGATGATCAGAGAAACTCATAGCGAAATTCTCAGAGCACACAGAATTTGATCAAATTCTATCAATTTTAGATTCTTTTTGAATTGATTCTAGGTGATCAATCAAATCAAAATTCACCGAACTTTTAGAATCAATTATTATTGATTGGAATGGAATTTGTAATCAAATAATCAATGCTGAACACACCCAAGGAAAAAAAAAAATTCTGGCCTTAATGCCAATTTCTGAGAGGGAGAAGAAAGAAAGAGCAAATCAAGAAATTTGGGAGACCCAGATGAGAATCTTGTGAGAGAGACAAGATGGGTGATCGAAGTTTCAATCTTTTCATGGAATGATCAACAATATTTATAGAGAAAAAGAGAAAGGAAAAGAAAAGGAATGTAGGGGAGGCATATGGAGGTTTAAGCCAAATTGTTAGCATAAGAAAGTCAAAACCCTAGCCGCCTATTACAGAACCGTGATTGACTGATGAGCACCAAAAATTAAAAGAAAAAAGAAAAAAACAGTAATATTAATTAATAGAGGTAAAAATAAAATAAAAAATAAAAAAAGGAAGGAAAAAACAATTCAAACACTGGCTTCCGTAACTGATTTTGTTGATGATATCTGTGATCACGGATTGTTAAGTATTCGAATAATGCAATCACATCCTAACAAATTCTTAGGTAACCATTAATAAATCCTTATTTGAAGATGTGACTTCCTTTTTGTCATGATGGACTCCAAAGATTTTAAATACGCACTAGAATAATGTTTAGATTAATTTATTTTGAAAATTTAATTATTTTAAAAAAAAAAAACTAAGTATATGTGTCATTGTAATTGTTATTAATATACAAAATATAAATTTCGATTATTTTTTGAAAATATTTATTTAAATTTTTAGAGGACATTACTGCATACAATAAAATGATAAAAAGGAATAAAATGATTTGAATTACTGAGTTGTGTTGTTAACACATTTAAATTTTTTCTTGATTGTAATATTTTTGAAAATCACTTTTCTTTTATAAATATTTTTCTACATACGTTGTCGAATATGGAAAGAATGTTTCGGATTAATCATAAATAATTTGAAATATATTTATTTCACTGGTCAATCTGATCCCACTACCGAATTGGATCTTAAAAAAAATCATTTATTATGATTGTTTCTGATGGAGCAAATTCATAAATTGCCAATGAGAGATCTTTACGGAGCAATTACCAAGCCCGTGAGTGCCTGTGTGTAGGCTAAAATTAATTTGATCTAATCTATATTTAAAAAATAAAGTTTTGATCTAGGTCTGTTATCCTGTATCAGCCTATTAGGCATTTAATAATTAAAAAGAATATTATTTTATTATTCAAAATCATTAAAATAATAATTTTATTTATTTTACTTAAAATAAACAATATGATATAAGCCGGCATGTAAGCTTATAGGTCCGACATGCAAAGAAAGTTTATGACTATTTTCTAAATGAGTTTTTTTAAAAGTCTGAGTCTATTTTATTTGATTATATGTAATAGGTCAAATCTGACCTGATGTAGGTTGGGTTGTAGGCCCCTATTAAGTCGTCTAGCCCATTTACAGCCCTAGGTGTAAGTATACACATCAAATAATAATTGAGAATATTGTATCCAAGAGCATTATACCCTAAAAGAAAAATGTGTAAATCACACAATAAAAACAAGTGTACTAAAGGAAAAAATAGAAAAAAAAATTTATTAACATTTTAGGTGCAATTATGCATCAAAAATCAAGAGCAAAATAGTAACAACGTGTACCAGAATGTAAATATAGAAATAAAAATTGTTTTTTGAGTTTTTTTTCAATTAACTCTTAAACAATAGATATCAAAATCAACACAAGCGAGATGAAGTGAAATAAGGTAATTAAGGTTGGTTGGAGCATACTTTCCAAGATCTAGATCTAATGTATAATCTAAAAACCTTGAGACAATAACAATTTGTCACTCTGGTTCACACATGTGTTGGTACAGATTCCTCTTGTACCAAACTTACTCTGTGGAATCCATCGCACAAATTCCTCTCATACAATGAAGGAATTGGAGCAAATCCACAACCAAGAACCTATAAACGAGAATGTGTTATCCTCTATTCATAAAGCGACTTGTGAGTAAAAGCTAAAGAGCTAGTGTGACAATACATGACCTTGTCAGGAGGGCAAGGGGAGCTTATGATGGGGGACCACCGCCAATGGATTAACCTACACCAACCATAACAAATAAGTTTGACACCATGTCCTAATCCAAAATTTTAAGGTTTTGGTTCCTTCCACTTATATAAACTTCATTTAGCCCATAATCAACCAACGTGGAACCACATGACATTTGAATATCCTACAATCTCTCTCTCAGGTGTGGAATCTCACATTAGTATGCTCCCCTTAGGGGTGTAAAGGGGCTGGGTCGGGCCGGGTTTTGACTTAAATAGATCAGTCTTGTGTAATATATTTAAGCCTAACTTGGTTTGTTAGCCTTGTGTAGGCCTAAATTATAAGTCTGGTCTGACCTATATTAAAAAAAACAAAAGGCTTGACCTAGACTTGTTAGCTTGTTTAAACCTATTAGGCAATCAATAATTAAAAAGTAATATTACTTTATTATTCAAAATCATTAAAATAATAATTTTATTTATTTTATTTAAAAAAATAATATGATATAAATCGACTTATAGGTTTATAGGTTAGGCTTTGCAAAAGAAAGTCTATGGCTTGCTTTTATAAGAAGGTTTTTTTAAAAGCTTGAGTTTGTTATATTTTACTAGATATAATAGGCCAAATTTGGTCGGATGTAGGCCAGGCCATAAGCCCCTGATAGGTCATCAAACCCATTTACACCCCTAGCATCCTCTAATAATATAGGCTCAAGTATTTAATCCATCTCTAGCCAAACACCATGATAGTCTCGAGCCAAACCCGACTCTGATATCATTGTTAGGTGGGCCAAAGGGAGTCTATGATGGGGAACCACAGCTAATGGGCTAAGCTACATCAATCGTTTTAAGTGGGTCTGACGCTATGTCTCAACCCAAAACCTTAAGCCTTAAATTCATAGGTCCTTTCACTTATATAGATTTCACTTAGCCTATTACCAACTAATGTGGGACTCCACTACACTTGAATATCCCAATAATAATTTCATAAATTGCTCATTTCTAGGAGCCAAATCTTAAGATAGTTGAATGAGATCAGTCAATCAATAACAGCGAAATCAGAATTTGATGCACAAATTATTACTACAAAATATCTGAATTATAGCATACAAATTTAGGTCTGGTACTCATACATTCCAACCACAAAATGCTTAACCCATGCTATCAATGGCGGACTTAGAAAATTTTATTTATGTCTGCACACTTAGAATAAAAGAATACAGGAAATTTTTTTAAAGAAAATTTTAAATGTATTAAAATACTAAAGAATATAAACAAGAAAATTTTAACTTAACATAAAAAAAGAGTAATCAAGAGTCAACTAAACTGTTACAATAGAATATTTTGGTCCTCAACAAAAATCATGGGCCCCAATTTAGTCCCTTAGAAAAAAAAGTAGATTGTGGTCCATGTGAATTCCAAAATAGACCCAGATAATCAAAATGGTGGTCTCTCTGAAATTCAAAAAAGACTCACATTAGTCCCTCAAAAGGACTAACATGAGACTATTTTGGAATTCAGAGAGAACACGAGTCGATTTTTTTTTAAAGAGATTAAATTGTGTCGCGTAATTTTTATTAAAGACCCAAAATATATTTTCCTCTTTTTTTCCCAAAATTTTTGTGTGTGCACTTGCACACAAAGCACATATACAGATCCGCCAATGCATGTTATGGAGTATATCTTAACTTGAAACAGAAAAATAAAAAATGAAACATAGATAATTTCCTTTTCTTATTACAAAATTGTATTACACAAACAAAAACAATAAAGTTACATAAAAGTGCTCCAAGAGTTGTAGAATTCGAGCTTCAACTATGGAGGAAAACTGGGGGAAGAAGATGATGATGAAGGGGAAGAAGGCGGGTCTCATCCAAAAGCTCTCTCTTTCTCGTTGTGACCTCCATTTTTCTAATATCTCTTTCTTGTTCACTTTTTCTTTCAGGTGGTCCGTATTGATGTGATTCTTCTCTGATTCATCTTCATTTTCTCTTCACGTTTCTTGTAATCATTTCATCCTGATAGAAATTTCTTATGTACATCGAATGTACCCAAGTGGGTACATATTTTTACCAAAAAGAGAAAATTTTCTTCCTATTTAATCCAAAAAAAATTTAAGTAATTCCCATCAAATCTCAATTTTTTACTTTTTTGGACAGATGTATGGTGCATCTGATGCACCAAAAAAGTGCTCCATCCTAACGAAATTTTTTAATATGGTCCAGGACCATTGTGGTCCTTCCACTAAGGGCTCGTTTGGATGGACTCTTTTTTCTCCAAAAGCTGCTTTTTTTCTTAAAAAAAAAAAACACTTTTCATTTTTAGTGCGTTTGGATGTTGCTTTTAAAAAAAGCAGAAGTCACAAAAAAAGTCAAAAACCTACTTTTTTTCAGAAGCTAAAAATTTAAAGTTCTAAAAAAAGCAAAAGTCAAATAATTTTTTTAAAAACTAAATATTTTTATAAAAATATAAATAGCTTTAACTTTTTGTAAAAAACACTTCTAAATTAAGGAAAAAATAAAAATTACTTTTTGGAGAAGGCAAAACAAACGGGCTCTAAGTGAATAACACCTCGAGGAAATTCTTTTTCCTTCTCTCTCTCCTCTCTCCTCTCTCCTCTCTCCTCAATCTCTTCTATCTCTCCCCCTCAATCCCACCGAATCCAAAATGTTTCGGGAACACTAAATATAATCTCCATCCTAACGACTTTCTCTTTCCTCTAATTATCATTTTAGCACGAAATGTGATTCTTTGTCTTTTTTTCATTGCTTGTTTCTCAATCAATATAAATTATGAATTCTTACTAATTTACAGATTCGATTTGGAGTCGAGTTGTGTAAACCCATTAATAAATTTTTTACATAAATCTTAATTGATTATAAATGATGAAATAAAGGAGATTTCTTACCAATTAAAACATAAATCTGTATAATATTTTCAATTATATTATAATGAAAATATAATGTTTAAACACATTTGGAATGAGTATCGCAATAACAACAAAAAACACTATAGGGTACTTGTCATAAAAAAATTTATTTACAAATTATAATCAAGGCTTTAATATTTCTACATTGAATGTAGATAAGTTATCTACATTCACTCCTAAAACGACGTAATTTTGGGTTGAAAATTAAATAATTATAATGAGAAAGACTATTATAACCCTAAAATAAATTATAATTATAAAAATACCTTAATTTTCGTCCCAAAACGATGTCGTTTTGGGCTCAATGTAGATAACTGATCTACATTGACTGTAGAAAAAATGAACCCTATAATCAATTATAAAAATTCATAATTAAAATTGATTGAGAATTATTATAGTAGTTAATATTAGCAATAATATATTAATTAATAGTTTTAATGATTTTGTTCAAGAAATAACATTGATTTCTAGCAAGATAGCTAGTATTTGTATCTGCGATGGTAAAGATGATAGTCAATGAGAAGTCCTGCACCTTATGAGCAATGGGTGTGTGTGAGTCACCTGCGTGGATAGGATGTGCTCTGAGCATAAGTGTGTAGGTTGTAGCCATGGTGGCCAGTCTTGTGAATAATAAGATAAGTTAGCATATCAGATCCCTCTTTGTTAGCTATAAGGGGTTATATATAGATGAAATGCACTAGGAGGTTGTGCCCCTAGTGGATAGTTTGCAGGTGACTGACTTAATGGTGTGATGCAATGTTTAATGAGTGGTTATTTGTAGTGGATGGAAGTTAAGGAAGAGTGATGGAATGAGATGCTCCATGTAGTGAGAATAGGAAGTGGGAACCACTTAAGTGGTCCAGAACAGATTTAATATTTGAAGTGAGTGCGTATTGAGAAATAAATATATTATAATTGAGAAAAAAGAGATTTTTTTTTTATTGCTTTTTAAAGGGCATATGTCTACCAGATTGTGTCAAGCGTCGCAATCTAGTTGGTCCATGCCCAAATTCATACAAATTCAACAGACAAAACGTAACCATAAATGAGTCAAACAACTATCTTATTCTTCAGCTAATTTTCGGTGCTCTTCGAGCACATTCTCCTTTATCAAAATTAGAAAAATAGGGTTAGGAGAGGAAATAACAATAAATGTGAGGATAATATAAAAGTGTTATTTTTTGCCATATTTAATAAATGGTATATTAAGTAGTGTTTAAAAAATCGGACCGGCCCGACCGGATCAACCCAAAAATCGGTAAATCGGTCTTATGACTGGTTCGATTTTCATGTTGGATCGGTCAAGTAATAGACCCGATGTGACCCGGTATGACCCTGTGTGACCCGACCGATTTTTGCAAAAACCGGTGACTCGAGCGATTTTAATTTGAACTGATGGATCGTGCATATTCATTTTAAAAAAAGAAGAAGAAGAAAGAAACGACTTCGCGAGGAGAAGAGAAGCGTAGATCTGAAATCTAAACCATGAAAACGGAAAAAACACAGAGCATAAAAAATACTTTGCAAGTTTTTACTTTTATGCTTTCTGCGGCCGTTGAAGGATAGATTGTGTTGGTTATGGGTGTGCATGAGGAAGCGCAAGAGGATGATTTGCAAACTGTATCTCATGAATATGGATAGATTAAGAACCCACATTTGAACCTCAATCGTCGCACTCATTGTGTCAAAGTAAATGATAAACCCTCTTTCCATTCATATTATATTTTTTGTACGGAGAGAACTTTTTGTGGATGTGATTTGTGTTTTTTTGGAAAAGCAATCTTGGCTGTTAGATTACAAAATCATTGACGGTTTGTAATTCACAATCTGCATCGTCCAATTTGGTGGATGTTGTAATCCTCCAATGGCTTATATATTACAAATCGATGAAGTGGTGTAATTGAGATTACAAATGGATTACTAATGGATGCTGTAATCAAGAATTGGGAAAAACAATTATTAATGATTAGGCTATTTTAAATATAAATAATCCAATAAGTCTATATACACACACGTATATATATAGGGTAGTATTCTTTGATATTAAATTTTAACAATTGATCTTTGGTTGTACAATGATATGTACTTTTTGTGGATGTGATTTGTGTTTTTTTGGAAAAGCAATCTTGGCTGTTAGATTACAAAATCATTGACGGTTTGTAATTCACAATCTGCATCGTCCAATTTGGTGGATGTTGTAATCCTCCAATGGCTTATATATTACAAATCGATGAAGTGGTGTAATTGAGATTACAAATGGATTACTAATGGATGCTGTAATCAAGAATTGGGAAAAACAATTATTAATGATTAGGCTATTTTAAATATAAATAATCCAATAAGTCTATATACACACACGTATATATATAGGGTAGTATTCTTTGATATTAAATTTTAACAATTGATCTTTGGTTGTACAATGATATGTACTTTTTTTTTATATTAGAATATTTGGAACTTGTATAATTTTTTTACAGGAATTTGAATATATTTATATTTGTTTAGTATAAATTATAAATTTATATATACACATCGGGTTGTGCGATTCAACCCGTGACCCACTGATTGAACCAGTTACCCACTGACCCAGTGCCTCGATCGGATTGACAAACGGGTCAAGTTTAATAAGATTGATATTAAGTACTTAGTAATTCTGGATTGCTGAAAATATTTTTCTTATTCTTTGATTTCTTCTAGTCTAGGCTCTAATATGAGGCACTGGTATAACTTTGGAATCACTTTTCACAACAACTCATTGGAATCTCTTGTTACAAGCAAAAATTAAAGATTAATAATCATTTTCAAAAGTGATAAATTATCATTTTAAGAAAAGTAGTTATTTTACATGGATTAATGTTTCTAATAAAAGATAAATTCATTTTCTATAACCCCAAAAGGACTTTATATTAGGATTTGGAAAAAAATGAATGGTGTTTTTTAAAAAAATTGTTATAAGAAATAATTAAAATTTCTAAAATGAGGATACCAAAAAATAAAAAAAATAAATCTAAAATATCCTTATTTTTTTCCCAAATCCCAAAACGATGTTGTTTTGAGATCATAAGATATTATTTTATGGGTAAAGAATTTCTCCAGTCAATGAAGATACGTTATCTTCAGTGAGTCCAAAACGACGTCGTTTTGGGACGAAAATCAAGGTATTTTTGTAATTATAATATATTGCAGGGTTATTTTAATCTTTATCATTATAATTTTTTAATCTTATAACCCAAAACGACGTCATTTTATCTTCAGTGACTGAATAAATACTTTTCCCTTATTTTATATGGAAAAAATGTGTGTCATTTTAAAGGATGTAAAGTTGTGTCATTTTAAAAGAGAGAAAGAAATAGATAAAGGAAGAGAGAGTTGACAAAAATAAATAAAGGTATGGGTCCCACCTCTTTGTGAGAGTGAAAGAATATAAGTTGTGTCATTTAAAAGGATAAATATTTTTCTCATTTTATATGATGTTACAAGGTAAACACTTTTCCGTACATCATATTTATCACTTGTTAAGTAAAACGAATTCTCACACTAAAAAAATATGAAAATCCACAAAAAAAATTGTAAATTTGAACATACAGCTTGATATATTCTTATATTATATTATAATTGTTTAAAAGCTTATTTCATTAATTAAACTGTGAACTAATTCTATTTCTAATATAAATATTTATTATTACATTATTCAACTTCAACTCTCATCAATTTATTAAATTCGTCAACTAATTGAATTATGATTGAGACCTCTCATCAATTACATTTTTAGTTTGATGTTTATAACAGTGATCACAATTTCCCTTTCTGTCGGGAACATAACTTCTCATGTAACTGATTTTTGTGATATGTTTTTTCCTAAAAAATATTTTATTAATTTTTACATAGCAATTTGCAAATGTAATTTTTCAAAACAATAAAATAGGAGTGGACAAATGGGTTTAACAAAATTCACTAAGGAACGTAATATATGTTTGTTTGTATGTTTTTGGTTTTTTTTTTTTAAAAAAAAAAACTTTTTCGTATCCCGTACATTATAATATACGTTATTTTAATTATATGATATTTTTTTTTGGTAAATAATTATTTTAAATACCATTATTTTTTTAGATCAAATACCATTTTGATTCTCAACAAAAAATACGGAATTCATTTTAATTCCTTAGAAGAGAAAAAAAAGTCAACACGAGATTTCTTTGAAATTCTAGTTCTTTGAAGTTATTATTCTTCAAAAATTCAAAGGAAACCCACATTAATCTCTCAAAAAGAATTAATATAAATACCTTTTTATCTATGGGATTAAAGTGAGTTTAATGTTGAGAACCAAAAAAAAGTATTTACTCTTACTTTTATATAAGAAGTTTCTTTTTTAAAAATAAAACTTAATAAAACGGCAAAAGAGTTTTTATATAAATTGATTTCATATGATTATGTCCTAGAATTTATTTGAAAAAAAAAAAAAACTCACGAATAAAATGACAAAACAATTTCTGAACATATCGCTGTCCACAATATCCACATTGCATGTACCAAAAACAATAACCGGGCCCGCAGAAAAGGCCCACGGGCCACAGTGGCGTATGCATATAAACAATAAAAAGCATCCAACAACTTCGTTTTGATGGAAAGTCATTATTTAATAAGGTGAGCAGAAAACCATGTCGTGTATGCAATTGTCTGAGGTACTTGCTATCGTGCGCTGAGCCTTGCTTTCAGAGTGTTTTCGAAAGCTGTTGTTACTTCTTCTTTTTTTCTGAAATGAGTCAGGAAATTGTTATTGCACTACCAAAGTGGCTGTTTATTAGGTTGATGGGAGACTGATGCTTGCATAAGCTATGAGGTAAGTTTTTACATTTTCCTAGATAATTCAACCTAGTATTAGCATTTCTACGCTGAGAATTGTCTGAAGGACATGCTTTTCTAGGCGACTCTAGAAAATCAAACATTTGCTGCACATGTTCCTGTATTTTTTTGTTTGTTTGTTAAGATTGATTAAATCTATTCTAAGATTTAAAACTTCAAGTTCTGAAGGCTTATATGGAATCTTATTCAAGAATCTTAAATTGTATGTTGTGCATATACGAGCACTTCAAGAACAGAATTTTCCTCTCCTTGTTCCTCTCTGTAACTGAGATCTTGATGGGAAGAATATACAGTTAAGAGTGTCAAGAGTGGAAAGGGGATCTGGTTCCACCCATCATGGTGTAGGTTAATTGACCCTGTACCGTAATTCACTACAATAAACAATTGGGCTTAAACGCAATAATATAAAATATATGGTGATTCCCAAACCCCTGATGGATCGTGTATGATTATATGGGCTTTCATAAAATATATCAGATTATTCATTCAACCCATTTATAAAACAGAATACACTAATCAATGAAAGGCCAAACCCAAAAAATACTAATATTTTTTAATAAATAACAATTAATGATTGCTAAGTAAATATTGCTCTTTTCCCTTAAATTGATTATTGTGTTGTTTCTTGTGTAATTCTTTAAGGATCGCTAGGGAGAGGTTAATGATTGATGAAAATTCATCCATGCACCAAAAAAGAAAAAGCAATGAAGGAAATGAAAAGGTTTAACTTAGTTTTCCTTTTCTTTTCTGTCCTCTCCTCTATTTTCATTTTGGCCTGAAGGGGAATTATTTATTCTTGATTAACATGTTTAGTAAATGGCACGTCACATATTTCTTTGTTAAATTCCTAGTCAACTGTTCGTTTTCATTTATTTTTTTGTTACCTTTATGATATATTTTCCTCCAAAGTACAAAACATAGTTAAGGAATGCAAATCTGCAGATTTTAGTTGCCTCTTGAAAGTGATTTTATTTATTTATTTTTATTTAAAATAATCCGTTTTCTTACCAAAAAAATAATGATAATAGTAATCCTTTTTTCCCTTCATCATTTTGTATCATCTAATGTGCTCTGAACATGATAGCGGAACCTAGAGAAAGTCATTGTTTATAACTATTGTGACACAGTTAAATATTCTTTTTCCCCCTAATGTGGTGCATCTCTTTCCTAGATGGGGATACCCAGAAAGGAAAGGCATCCGACGTATGCTGATAACTGGTCCAGCACTTTGGATCTCTGCAATATGCTGGTGGAACTAGTTCACTACAAGTGGGGTCCTTTCTTAACATCTTCAAAGCATATAAACATAAAGCTAGCTTAAAGAAAGACCAGAATATTTTGAAGGCTAAGTAATAGGGCACAGCAGAAAGAAAGAACATATATATGCTTTTTGAATCAACATCAACTTCCGAAGTTGCTATTAAGTCAATGAAGATCACAGAAAGATAATGAAGTTCTATGCATGATTTGAAAGTTAGAATTCCTTCCCAATTTTAGAGTATAACAAGGAATCAAGACAGTACTCATGCCCCAGCAACAAATTAATTAGTGAAAACAATTATATTTGATTTGTTTTGAATTCAGTTGTAGCATCTCTGCTCTTATATAGTTCCATTAGGTTCTTACATGTTTAATTATTTCCTTGCTCAGAGATTATATGCTTAATATGGATTGGATATTAAGCTGAATTTTTAAGTAAAACTACCCACATAGATCCTTTGAATGTGAACTCATTTTGATTTCCCTAGTCATTAGAAAACTGTTGTTGAATGTATTGGTCCTGGTGATCCATGACTTGGGTCTGAATTCTCCGCCTGATATTTGAACCATGCAAAACATTCTTTGGACCACCCAACAGAAGCAATTCAATAAAATAGTTGTTCCCCACCATTCCACTCTTTCTCACAGCGTGTATATGTGTGACAAGTACATGGGCAAGTTACATATGCACTTGTATTTGAATTGGAAAGCTAACAAAGGAATTTTGGGGGCAAGGATTAACGTAAGTTCTAAAGCTTAATTATATTAGCAATGAATATGGAAAATAGTATATATGGATTTCATAACCTTCTTGTCAGTACATCTAGCAAGAAACAAAAAATGCTGGGTATCCTCTCTAATGAAAATACATTGCTATGATTCTAACAGAGGGTCTTCATCCATGATTTATCTAGAGCTTAACATAGGGAAAGCAAGATAGAATGTTGAGGCAAATCAGTGATATTGCAGGTCTTCTGAAATTTCTTCTTTCAGTCTGCACCACCTGAAACAGAAGTAATAAATTTATCATTGGAACCGAGGTTAAATGGCATTTTCTAAAGAACTGGACAGACGAAACTGCCGGAAGACTAAACTGTTCTCACCAAAATCCCTTGGGATTTTGCATTTATAGCATTCTGTCCTGCTAGCATAATTATGCACTCCACAGCCAATTCTGTTATATTAGAAAAAGGAAAATAAAGGTGAAATACTTAAAATTAGAAAGAAATTTGGATACTAGTATTTGTATTATAATTCATATTTCTTCTTGTGTGTAATGAAATTAACTGAATTCATTTATATTGACCACCATCATTATTGTTCTTCAATTATTGGCATGGTCCTTATTGGCTTTTTCCTACAAAAATACTGCACCTTTTGTTCTTATGGTCACTATATGTCAATGTGCAAGGGCTGAGTATGATTTTCTTTCTCTGGGAGGCAAAAAAAGAGATTGTACCTTCAATACATGAAAACGCAGCTTTTGTGGGTACATCAGTTACTTGTTACTAAATTACATTGTTCAGCTTTTATGATACTTGGACACCTAGGTGATATCTAGTTGGTCTTTCATGTTGCAATTGAATGCAGGCTCTTTATTGAACTAATGCAGCTGACCAAATTTCACCAACAGAAGATATACTATCTCAGTGCTAAAAATTTGAAGAGAATGTGAACTGACCTTGGGCAAATCCAGTCTCCAGTCTTCCATCCTGGAGGGAAACTGCTATCAGATCCATATCCTCCAGAACCTGCCATGTTCCCCCCATATCCTGAAGAATAATCATCTTTCAATGCACCACATCTATAGCAGCTTGATCTGCTGGCATAGTTATGAGCTCCACAGTTCATAGCGGTGCAATACCAGTCCCCTGCCAACGCTTCAGTCCTGTTGTATCTATAGGTTGAAGGGTCAGGACCTCCATACTTGGGGTATCCACAACTCTGGCATACGTCCCTCTTCTTGAAATTAATGTGCTGGCAAGCACCACACATCCAATCTCCTCCGGACCAGCTCATTTTTCCTGTTTAATAATATTCATTTGAAGGGGTAAATGATAAGAAATTTAGGTTTCATCAATTCTCAGTGCAGCCAAACAAGAGTTATATGACATAACTCCCTTTGCATGTAGCCTAAATCTCACATGGCAATGGGAAATATTATTAATCCTTTTGTTATAAGTTGTAGCCCTAACTTCTATTAAAAGGCATGCAAAGTAATCCAGAGAAGTTATTTGCATAAGGAACTACAGTCTTGGGTGATAGCATGGTACTCTATCTAGACAACATAGCAGTCTAGTCAATTTTTCTACTCTACTTAACATGATTATAGGAGTTTTGAGTACCCTAATTTGAAGATGAATGAACCATGAGGTTCCACTGGTACTGCATTTAGAAAGAAAGATTATATATAACATCCACGCATAGGAAATCATTTGAGATGTGAATGACAAACATAGAAACAAGAAATTTACCTAATAAGAAGAATTATGAATAATGGAAGTATCAGACAAGCGATGGCTTCTTGTTGCTAGAGTAGTAGTTTAAGAATAGCTTGTAAGTCAAGATGGTGAGTTTGGTGTTTGTGTTGTGAGGCTTTATATACTGGTTGTAAGACCTGTTGTGGGGAACATGAATGCCTGTCTCTTTTCGTTCCCGGGTAATCTGCAAATGGTTTTCTTCAAATGGAGTTCCAAAAGTAGAAATTACTGGAAGATGTAGATAAAAAAATTCTTACTACTGCTTCTCTTGTTATTCTTAGAAATGGTGGGAAAGGTCGGTAAAATAGTAAATGTGTATACACGTTTTTTTTCCATCTAGGCCTTTGCCCATCTTTACGTGATTCCTATGCATTATTGAGGGGAACATATCCAAGGGAAGCAAGGCTATATGAGGGGTAGTTGTTATGTGGTAGACTGCATATCTAATAGAATCCAATATCCCCTGAACCCCACCTATGGCTTAACAACAATATGAGCTCATCCGACCCAATATTTATCGAATCCATGTGTAAATGCATTACGCTCTGTACATTGGACTCATCCAACTTGCAAATAAACCTTCACTAGGATAGGCTTATGCATTCCTGGATGGTGTCTGTGCAGTTAAAGGGGAAGAACTGTGTGTAAATTTTTTTATGGGGAATCAATTCCTACCTCATACACATCCATTTCCAAGTTCTTTTTCTCTTTGTTTCAATTGCTTTATAGCAATAATTGAAATTCCATTCGAAGATTCATATTCAATATCAATAATTTGTTTTCTTTCTTTATTTACGATTATACTATATGCATGTAAAAAATTCACCGTCACATGCACTTAAAACGCTTTGACATGTGTGCGTATACCACTGGTTATGATGCTCATAAGGGTTGGTTGGTTACTCATGTATCATTGCCCTATTTGACTGCCACATCTTGTTAGACTATAAATAAAACAAGTAGTATCGATAGCAAACTTATTCTTATTACTTTAGTTAGTTTTTATTATTATTATTAGGAAAAACATTTTGTCATGTTGCATGATAATTAAATTCTCATTTTGTGATTCTTCGATTTGTGTGCAATTTTTTTTTCTTTTAATAAATGTGGGGCCCATCACTAGTTGAGTTATAACATGAAAATTGAATTTCTATATAACACGAGAAAATCAAATCTCTTATTATTATTATTATTATTATTATTATTATTGTGAAGGCAAGTAAGTGCTAAGAGATTTTATTTTTTGAGTAGTATGCGGCTGCTCGACACTGGGCAGAATGGACAGGTGAACCTGGTTATGTAGGTTTCAAAAAAGTGCTACAGTGGAATCAAAGTTCTTTGGACCTCCAAATTAGAATTGATGTATAAGAGTGGTAGAAACGGATCTAGCAGCATAAACCTTAGGAACAATGATCATTTTGTCATTCTTGGTCAAAAAAATTACCAGACTGTCACGCTAACAGTAAATTTTGCCAAAATGTCACTTGGCATATTTCGCTACACTGTGTAGCGAGATATGTGTGCAAATAATTCGCTACACAGTGTAGCGAAATATGTCACATCAGAATCAAAAATGTCACGTGTCAAAATTGTAGAAATTCGCTACCCTATAGGGTAGTGAATTTCTTCAATTTTGACACATGGCATTTTTGGTTCTGAGCAGTCTGACGTGGCATATTTCGCTACACTGTGTAGCAAATTATTTGCACACATATTTCGCTACACAGTGTAGCGAAATATGCCACGTGGCATTTTGACAAAATTTACGGTTGGCGTGACAATCTAGTGATTTTTTTGGCCAACAGTGACACTTTAGTGACTGTTACTAAACCTTACAGCCTCCACATCTCTGTGGTTAGTTCACTCTATCTTTATTCTTTAGAAATAACTCATGAAACTGTTTCAAAAGCAGAGAATAATACAGATTGAAGTTTTAATACCCTTTTTTAAAGTAATAATAATAAACCTCTGTACTGCATATGATTCAATTAAAAACCATATTTTTTTTCTTCTAAGTATGTGAGTCATATTATGCATTTAATGGTTAGGATTCTTCCTCCAATAAGGTATAAGAATTTCTAAACCTCTTACCATGCTTTGGCTGACATGGCTTGAATGGGCCGAATCAACTCTAGCATCAATGCTGGCGTGTTAAACCTGGCGGGTTCGATAAGGAGGAATCTTAATCACTAGTTTTCACCAGACAAAGAAAAATATTCCACATATATTTTATCACATTGACATCGAAGTAAAACCTCAGACTGACAACTCTTATTGCCAGGCTTTTATTCTCAAGAGGGGGCCATGCCATCACTTTTCAATAATACTTGGAGAATCGATATCCTAACGACACTAACTACAAAATATAGCCGTTGCTTTTAGATTTTGAACAACACCAGTAACAACCACAAACTTTGCATTATCAAGGTGTTTAAAGTTTAAACCAATCTAAGCCTTCTTAATATAGTTATCTCCATGTTTATGGAAATGGAGAGAATAGATATACTTGTCAACTGAGAGAATTTTTTCAAAAATCACATCAAGACATTAGTATTAAGTGGGAATTTGTTAGTGGTTAATATTTAATGTTGTGGTCAATAATTAAGTGATTCGATTCACCATTTAACACTCATCGATTGCCTTCAAGTTCAAAATTTTAGTTTGAAGATTAAAAAACACGGCAGATGTTTATTTTCATTAAAAAAATGTTATGAAGCATTTTTTTGTGTTTTTTTCTTCTTCTTATTTAAACAGAATTCATAGCTTCTCGGATAGTCAATTTTTGTAGAGTTTTTTCATTGGTTTTGCACAGCTTTTTTACTAGTGTATGTTGGAGAACACGTGAGCAACGTGAATTTCATAATTTGTAATATGAAGTGGAAAAGTTACACGTTAAAAGAAATAGACGAAGAAATTCTTGTATCCAAAAAGAAGAAGAAAAGAAATAGACGTAAGAATGGTGCAATGGACCATTTTTGGGATAAATGAACCAATTCAACACGCTTCCTTGCACGAGAGCCCATTGGACTTGAATGGTAAATAATGCACAGGCTCCTACATGTGCGAAGAAAGAAATTTCACTATAAAAAAAGTCGCTCCCTTGCACGAGAGCCCATTGGGCTTGAATGGTGGATAATGCACAGGTCCACCTACCTATGCGAAGAAAGAGATTTCACTATAAAGAAAGTGGGGCGGTGAGGTTCGAACCCGGGATAAGAGGCTGTAATATCATGTAAAAAACTTTGGGATACACCACTCCAAAAGCTATATCAAAGGGTGAGAGTGTCCAAGGCCTTACAAAGGTCACATTAGTTGCCCATACAATCAATGTGGGACTATATATCTCAACACGCCCCCTCAGACGAGAGCCTATTAGGTTTGAAGGGTGGATTATGCACAGGCCCAATTTTTGGTTCAACTTTTTGTGCTTTTTATTTTAATTCCACTTTAAAGTGGGGGGCGATGAGGATCGAACTTGTGACCTTGAAATCACTCAAGCTCTGATACCATGTAAAGAACCGATTCAATCCAAAAGCTTGAGCTGTTGGAGTGAGGCTACATTAATGGTTTTATATATCTCAACATATATGAATTCACAATTTAAAATATGCTGTCCATGCTCAAATGATAGGAGCATATTATATTCAAATAAGATGGAAGTTCATGATAAGAATTTTAAATTGATGTATAAAAACTAATTTATGTGAAACTAGGGCAGCAGTCGTAACAGATTTATTATATGGTAAAAGATCATTGTCCTTCTTTTGTAACTAGCAGATTTTGCCTTCAATGAAGCTTCTCGTCGTGGCTTCCTCGTCCTGATTTTTTTTTTCTTCAGTAATTTGAAGGATATCCTCCGGCCATAACCGAAAACTAATCCCCAATCGAGTGCTGTTGGGGCAGCTCTCCCAAATCCTTTTTTTCCATTCTCAAATCCTCCGGCTCGTCCTGATTTTAAAAGTGGAAAAGTGCGACCCAATGGCATATCCGACAGTGCAAAGGTGCTGAGTGTGGATAGGGACGGACCTTGGTTTAATCCCTATTAATACCATATTAGAGAGGGACATAAAATCGTAATTCTTGATCAGTTTCACACTACGAATTAGTCTCATAACCTGTTCAAAGAATAAAATGAGAAGTTTACTCTCCTCAAAGATGTAATCAGAACTGGTATAAAATAAAATAAAATAAAAAAGAAATTGGGAAAGTGCAATTTTCATTTGTTTCTCGTTATCTACTACTACTAACACAGTGCTGCTATTAATTACAGATTCGAAGAACATGGGATTTTTTCAGAAGAGACAGCCAGAATGAAAATATCGTTAAAGGAATAAAGTATTTGTTTTATAATGAAGTATCTGATGCATAATGGAATATAATATAAATTTTTGAGTTGGACTCCAGTGGAAATATAAGCCAATTGTAGCAGGGATTTGAATCTGACAAAAATCTTTGGGTCACAACTGGACATTTGGATTAGTCACAGCTAAATCTGAAATTAGTCACATACCTAAGTGGATTTTTTTTCCACTAGTGATTTTATAATTTTATCATTTTTTTAATCAAAATGATCTCATCAAAATTCAAAACGTTTTTATGATTTTATAATTTTTTATGATTTTTTTACATTAAGAATTTACATTTTACGATTTTTTTCCTCATTCTAATTTTATGTAAAATCCCAATTTTAACTATCATGCTCTTGACAATACCCAAATCCTAATTTAAAGGGGTGGTTAATTAAAATCATGAAATTAATGTCGGATTGATGTTTTTTTATGTTTACACACAAATAAAAAATATATGAGGTTCATATTTTCTTCTTTTTTTCCTCTCTTCTGTTCACATGGGCTTTTACACTTTTATGTATGTAAGAGATAAAATTATCTCCTACAATATGCGAAAAATTAAACCTAATTAATATATATAAATATATATTATATAAGTTTTAATTTTCTTATGTAATAGAAGAAAATATATATGGGATCCACATCTATTAAAAAAAAAGATTGCACGAAAATCGATAGGAGAAAATAATTCTCCAAAAAATATTTTCCATATATATATATGGATTTAATGTTTCTATAGTGAATATAGATAAACTATCTACATTCACTCTTAAAGCGACGTCGTTTTAAGTTAAAAGATTAAAAAAATTAAAATGAGAAATACTATTATAACTCTGAAATAAATTATAATTACAAAAATACCTTGATTTTCGCCCCAAAACAATGTCATTTTGGGCTCAATGTAGATAACTGATCTACAGTGACTGCAAAAAAATGAACCCTATATATATATATAAGAAAAATATTTCTCAAGCAACTTGAGATATATTTATCTCTGTTTATCTTAAAACTACATCATTTTGTTTATATATTTTCTTATATTAATTGATCAAAAAAATATTTATGCAGTTATTGCAGATAACTTATCTGCATTTATTTCCAAAACGACATCGTTTTAGGATAGAAACATTAAAAAATTATAATTATAAAGACTATAATAACCCTGAAATAAATCAAAATTACAAAAACACTATGATTTCCGTCCCAAAATGATGTCGTATTGGGCTCACTGCAGATAAGTAAACCAGAACTTATCTGCAGTAACTGCAGAAAAAGCGAACCCTTCATTGATTCATCTTTGAATGATTATGATTCCATTTTTCTCTCTCTCTCTCCTTTCATCACTATTGATCCATCTTTGTACGATTATGATTTAGTAGCCGAAGATAAAGTTATCTCAAGCAGCTTGAGAAACGATAAGCCCTATATTGGCTTATCATTTCTCAAGCTGCTTGAGATAATTTTATCTCCAACCACTAAATCACAACCATACAAAGATGGATCAATGGTGATAAAGGAAGAGAGAGAAAAAAGGAATCATAACCATTCAAAGGTGAATCAATTAATATAAGGAAATAAATCAATAAAACGACGTAGTTTTGGGTAGCCGGAGATAAACTTTTCTCAAGCTGTTTGAGAAATGTTTTTCCATATATATATATATATATAGGTTTTAATGTTTCTACAGTGAATGTAGATAAGTTATCTACATTCGCTCCCAAAACGACGTCATTTTGGGTTAAAAAATTAAAAAATTATAATGAAAAAAACTATTATAACCCTGAAATAAATTATAATTACAAAAATACCTTGATTTCCGTCTCAAAACGACGTTGTTTTGGGCTCAATGTAAGTTATCTACATTGACTGTAAAAAAGCGAACCCATATATATATATAGAAAAATATTTCTGCAGGTACTGGATATAAGTTATCTGCATTTACTTTTAAAACGACGTTGTTTTGGGATTGAAAGATTAAAAAATTATAATTATAAAGACTATAATAATCCTGAAATGAATTAAAATCTCAAAAATACCATGATTTTCGCCCCAAAACGACGTCGTATTAGGCAGACTGCAGATAACTTATCTACAGGGACTGCAGAAAAAGCGAATCCATATATATATATATGTGTGTGTGTGTGTGTGATCCACACCTTTTTTTTTTCACTCTGTCTTCCCCTTTATCTATATCTTTTTCTCCCTTAAAATGACCCAACTTTACCTCCTTTAAGATGACACACACTATTCTCATATATATGTATATATGATTATATTACTCTCATGCAATAATAGATATTCATGCCTCGTATAGTCATATTGTAGATACAATAATGTTGTGAGCCTCATTATTCATTAAAAAAAAAATATGAATCGATGAGTCTACGTGAAGTTATATTACTCTCAAATTTTATGAAAACAATATGACCCATACATATATATTTAAGTGTTTGTTTTTTATTAAGTTAATTTAAATAATTTTGTCTAATATTCACCGAAACGATGTCGATTTTAGGGAGGAATGTCGTTTTAGGGAAGAAATTATAGTATTAGTATATTTATAATTTTAATTTATTTCAGGATTATAATAATAAAGATTATTCTAATTTTTTAACTCTAAAACAATATCATTTTAGTGAATATTAAACAAAACTATCTACAATAACATTAGATATTTTTTTTTATATTTAATATTGCGGGATTGAAATTTTATAGTTACCTTATATTAATTTTTAATGGGCTACCGTGTAATTTTCACATTATTGAGAGACAAGGACGTGCGATAATCATTTTCCCTTGTGATTAAGGCTTATCTATATGGCTTGGGAGGCAGAGGAACGCGCAATGACACGATACGATGGTTGAATCGTTGCTTTCATTTTCCATTCTTCACTTTCTTCCAAGCTCCTCCGATCCTCCTTACAAGGTTCTGGAAGATCACCCATGTCTGAGCCTCCTCGCGAAATGCAACAACATCCAAACACTGAAGCAAATCCACTCCCTCATCATCAAGACTGGCCTCCATAACACCATGTTCGCACAGAGCAAGCTCATCCAGTTCTGTGCCCTTTCCCCCTTTGGTGACCTCTCTTACGCTCTCTCGCTGTTCCAAGCCATCTCAGAAAAAGAACCACCACCCAACCACTTCATCTGGAACAACCTCATTCGAGGGCACTCGTTGAGCCCATCTCCCATCTCCTCCATACATGTCTATGCTCGCATGCTGCATTCTGGGGTGAAACCCAATTCTTATACTTTCCCTTTCCTCTTTAAGTCTTGCGCTAAAGCGAGTGCGACCCATGAAGGGAAACAGGTTCACGCTCATGTTCTCAAGCTCGGACTTCACTCTGACGCACACGTCCACACTTCGCTTATACATATGTACGCCTGTGTTGGTGAATTGGATGATGCACGTTTGGTGTTTGATAATAGTACTCTTAGAGATGCAGTGTCTTTCACCGCTCTTATCACTGGGTATGTCTCTCAGGGTTATGTGGATGATGCTCGACGCCTCTTTGATCAAATCCCCACCAAGGATGTGGTGTCCTGGAATGCCATGATTGCAGGGTACGTCCAATGTGGTCGCTTTGAAGAAGCCTTGGCTTGCTTTAGCCAGATGCAGGAGGCAAATATCTCACCAGATCAGAGTACAATGGTGACATTACTTTCTGCTTGTGGTCATTCAGGATCGCTTGAGTTGGGGAACTGGATCAGATCTTGGATTAGAAACAACGGGCTTGGCTCAAATCTTCAGCTTACTAATGCACTCATTGATATGTATTCCAAGTGTGGTGAAATTGATACGGCTCGTGAGTTGTTTGATGGAATAGAGGAAAGAGATGTGATTTCGTGGAATACTATGATTGGTGGTTATTCTTACTTGAGTTTCTACGAAGAAGCCTTGGCACTCTTTGAGCTCATGCTTAGATCGAATGTAACGCCTAACGATGTAACCTTCTTGGGAATTCTTCCAGCTTGCGCTTGCCTTGGTGCTCTTGACCTTGGCAAGTGGGTTCATGCCTATATTGATAAAAACTTTAAGAGCATGAGCAATACTTCTCTTTTGACAAGTCTCATCGACATGTATGCAAAATGTGGCTGTATTGAGGTGGCGGAACAAGTGTTTAGAAGTATGCATTGTAGAAATTTGGCTTCTTGGAATGCGATGATATCAGGGTTGGCCATGCATGGACATGCAGAGAGGGCTCTTGGGCTTTTGTCAGAGATGGTCAATGAGGGATTCCAGCCCGATGACATCACATTTGTTGGAGTATTATCTGCTTGTACCCAAGCTGGTTTGGTAGATCTTGGACGCCAGTATTTCAGTTCAATGATCCAAGATTACAGAATTTCACCAAAATTACAACACTACGGTTGCATGATAGATCTCCTTGCTAGAGCAGGGAAGTTCGAAGAAGCAAATATTCTGATGAGAAATATGGAAACAGAGCCAGATGGAGCTATCTGGGGTTCTCTGCTTAATGCTTGCAGGGTCCATGGACATGTTGAGTTTGGTGAATATGTTGCAGAACGCCTATTTCAATTAGAGCCCGAAAATCCTGGGGCATACGTGCTTTTGTCAAACATATATGCAGGAGCTGGCAGATGGAATGATGTAGCAAGGATAAGAACCAGGTTAAATGACAAAGGAATGAAGAAAGTTCCCGGTTGCACTTCTATAGAGATTGATGGGGTTGTTCATGAGTTCCTTGTGGGTGATAAGTTCCACCCCCATAGTAAAAAAATTAATAAAATGTTGGATGAGGTAGATAAGCTTTTAGAGGAGGCTGGGTTTATGCCTGATACTTCTGAGGTACTGTATGATATGGATGAGGAGTGGAAGGAAGGGGCTTTGAGTCAACACAGTGAGAAGTTGGCTATTGCTTTCGGTTTGATAAGCACAGAACCGGGGACTACGATTAGGATCGTGAAGAACCTTCGTGTTTGTGGAAATTGTCATTCGGCTACCAAGCTGATATCCAAGATATTCAATAGGGAAATAATTGCAAGAGATAGAAACCGTTTTCACCATTTTAAAGACGGGTTTTGCTCATGTAATGACTGCTGGTGAAACTTAAATCTATCTATTCATTGAGTATAACAAGTGCAGAAGGAAAAGTGAATGATTTGCATTCATATAATTAACTTATGATTAGTACATATTTGCTCTCTCTCAATTGAAATGCAAACCCTTCTTTATTTATCAGTACATATATGATAAGTTCACGATTGGGTTTAATGCTTAAGATAGCCCAATGTAGTGCACCGAATCCAACTTCCAAGTAACCCATTTGGAGTTCATGCATTGGAGGGTGGGTTGAATGAGTTCTTTCTTGCAGTTGCCAAAACGGTCTTGTCAGCTACTATGAAATATGCTGCTCCCGCCACTGCAAACATAATATGGTTGTTAGATGTCTAAATCAAACAATGAGTATAATGGTTACTAGAAGATCATCGCAGCACTAAGGATGAGTAAGCTAACCTGTGGAAATTATGAGAGCTTGAGCAGTGTGATTGAGGTTGGCTCTTGCCCAAGGTAGCATCCTTACACTAGCCAGCTGCATATCAAGCATAATTCCAGTTAAGTATTTACAAAAAAGTATCTCTTATAATATCAAGAGGTGGTTATTTCAAATGTAAAATGATCATAAGAACTTTTGGTCAAAAAAAAAAAATTAAAAAAATTAAAAAATGGAAGGATTACTCACAGTTGGAATGGCACTGGCAATACTAGCAACAACAGCTGCCTTAGCTCCTGCTATCACACCCTCTGTTTACACACGAAGGAGAAAAAGTACATTAAAAATCAGGGACATTGGGAAATTTGCAAAGTTCATCAATGAACATAATTCTGAATCCAGGTATAATTGTCCAAAGCTTACAAGAATTTGCCAAATTGGTCAAGGCATAAAAGAAGGTGGAAAAAAAAAAAGCAACAGATGGGGGAGAAATGCTTTAGAGAGGAATTTAAAAATGAAAAACAAAAAAGGAAACGGAAGATTTTACACTCATAAAAGTATATACATTACCATGGGAACAGCGCTTTGCCATTGCCAACTTTTGATCCAGAGAAGCCAAGCTAGTCCTCTCAAGAGGAGAGTTAGCAGCAACATTTCCCTTGGCCATCTTCAAAGATTTAATTGAACAAACGCTAATAATGGAACAAGTCTTAATAAAGAGATGAATAACTGGAGTAGCTTTGGATGAAGAGAGGCTTAAGCTGCTAGTATATTTATACTAGAGTTGGAGAGAAAGTAATTCATCAACTCAAAATTATTTTTCCCCATAAAGAGAGAATGATAGAACATTGGCAGGAAGAGTTTGATGGTTTCAGATGAAATCTACCGTCTCAGACAGTTGTTTTCACTTTGGGTTTCTGTTACGGTCGGTTGAATCTTTTGCTGTTCCCTAATACTCCTACTTTCTTCTAAAAATGAAATTAATTTTATGCAAATACGGCCATGTGAGACATGTAATTACGTTATCCACTCGTGTCTTGAAACTGACACAAAAGTCCATTCAAAAAATTGATATTCTTTGTTTTTCCCCGTAATCTTTTTTTTTTCGTCGCAATGGTAACTGTAGTAGAAGGTAGTGGTTTAGTCCAAAGATGGCTTAAAAACCATGGGCACTGGTACCTGACGCATTGCTCATCCCAATAACCAAATATTTTAGAGAAAACATAAAAGAGAAAAGAAAGAAAGCATGAAGCATGGGAGTCAATAACATAATAGGAATTTATGTTTATCATTTAACATAATATAACTTCACTTCCCTACACACATTAAAGAGGTGAGGTCCACATGTTTTTCTTTCTCTTTCATCATTCCACTTTCTCTCTTCCTTTTGATGTGAGAGTTAGAAACAACACTTACATTATGTTACATAACACTAATAAAATCCAACATAATAATACCATGGATTAACGGGTGTGGGTTACAGGGTTAGCCTTTTATTGTTGAGGTGCGTTGGATCTGTCTGAGGGCATCTGCTACGACCTACAACGTTGGTTAGATTGCAACACGTACCCAAACCAACACGTGCAACAGTGCAGGATATCGCACTCACAGAAACAGGGGCGTACTGACATACATGTTTGTTTGGTGGTAAAAGTAGGCCACGGTTTTTGGCTTAAGGGGGTGCCATTAGCCAATTGCAAGGTTAAAGCGTTTGATCTCGACATCTTATCTAACCTGACTTCAGTTGTTCTCTCCTCTGTTTCTTTCCCAATTAAACTGTCATTCTGTCAAACACAAACATCATGATTCAATATTTTAATATATAATGTGCTGAAAATGTAGGTGATAATAGTTAAAATTTCAATTTATCATTATAATTTTATGAATTTTTTTCCATCAAAAAGATTTTAAATGCTTTTATATTTTTACAATTTTTTATATTAAAATTTTACATTTTATGATTTTTTTTATCTCCCTTTTGATTTTATATAAAATTGATTTTAACTACTTGAACCTTTCGATAAACATGTTCCTAATGTTACTTTTAATAAATTTTGATTATAAATTATTTCAAATATCAACTCTTTTATTTTAGACTTCAATAGTTCTACAGTGACTAGTGACTGTAATGTAAATAAGTTATCTACATTTGCTCCCAAAACGATATCATTTTGAGTTGAAAAATCAAAAAATTATAATAAAAAAGACCATTAACCCTGAAATATATTATAATTATAAAAAGTAATATGATTTCTGCCTCAAAACGACGTCGTTTTGAACTCAATGTAAATAAGTTATCTACGTTGACGGTAGAAAAAATAAACCATTTATTTTAATACTATATTCATTTATGTTTTTTCGATTAAAATTACTTTATTTTTGTGTATCCGCAGTACATGGTTAACGGATAATGATGTGTGTGGCATATCTATTGTAGAAATGATGTGTGACAACACTTGGGGTTATTTTTTGGATACAAAAAACGGAGGGGGCTGGTTTCAAATATGAAAGCATGCATCATAGGGTAATTTTGTAGCCAACAACTGCAACAGGAGGCTATTCCATAGTTGTGCCCATCATAATGTGGAAATAATGAATAACGAAGGAAACTTAAATTAATGACTTAATCAGGAGTTTGAGTATGGGCTTTGCTCATTGGCTTTTCTAACTAAGATCAGGATTAGAGTTGTTAATGGCCGGATCGGATTGGACTTTGGTCTTGAAAAATCAAAGGAGGTGTATTAGATTGGAATTTCAAAGGATTTTAATAGATTATTTTTGAATAAAAAAATTCATTGGTATTCGATTAAGATTTTAATGGATTGAAAAAAAATCACGTGGTATTTGATATGAATTTCAAAAGATTATTTTAGAATCCTCCAAATCCGTTGGTATTAAATCAGGAATTTAAACAATGGAATCACAATCTCGTAGTATTCAAAAATTTGACGATTTTAATGGATTTTCTATTGGTGTGGATTTCGTGAGACTTTTTAGTGAAAAATACAAATAGGATGCCTCTGTCACAATCTCACCCTAACCTCTAGTATTTCTTGAGATTTCTCTATTGCAGTGTTTTCTTCTTCCTTTAGCAGGTTGATCTACTCGAAATCAGGTTCCGCTATGGGAGCTTCATCAAAACTCGAAAATAGCATATTTTTGAGTGATTTTCATTACAAAACCCAGAAACAACAAACCAACGAGATTTTAATATAATCTATCTAAAAAATAACATATTTTTGAGTCATTTTTTGAGAAATTTTGGAATTTTAAAAAGTTATTTTTCAAGTTATGGGTCGCAATTTTTCTTGGCACAAAAAGATGTGATTTTTTTACTAAAAATAATATAAAATAGTGAAAAAAAATAACAAGGAACGAAAATCCTCAAACCAATTTTTGTTTTACATCAATGAAACAATATCAATTTAAAGAAAGATTGAAACTTTCATAATATGAACTCTATATTTCGTAACAATACATTCATGAACGAAATTTCTTCATTATAGGAAAGGATTTCAAACAATTTTTGTATCAATAGATAATTAAAAACTTATTTTTTAAAAGCCCTAAAGCAATTTAAGGTTTCAATGTATCGATTGAAAAAAATTTGAGAAATTTTTAAACTTTCATGTAATAAAATCCAAAAATTCAGATTCAAAATTTTCTTAGAATATTCAATGAAAATATGCATATGATATATGGTTAGAAAACTCTCATCACATAGAACAAAAACCCCAAGATTTTCAAGATCAATTGCAAAAAATTTCAAACAAAAATTTATCATGAACTTTAAATTTTTTTTAAATCAAAATGTTTTTTTAAATTTAAATTACGTTCTATATGAAAATTTAGAATTATTTTATTAATTAAAAAAATTAGATTTTATAATCATATATGCATAGCTTTTTTTTTTTTTGATAAACATATATGCATAGCTTTAATACCAAATGAAGAAGATAATTTTTAACCCATGGGTCAAACCCAAGAGCATGAACGAGAAAATGTTAATGCGTGGAGAACTACTATAACTTTAGATATGTGAAGAGCTGTTGCTTAGTAATTTTGAATGTTTGTTAAAAATTATATTATGTTTTACTGATTGAGAAAATTTTATTAGGTTTTACTTTTTTTTTTATTAATTTCATTGCATTTCTTTGTTATTTTTTTATTGACTTTTGTAATTTTGAATGTTTGTTGAAAATTCATATAGTTTTTAAAAATCTTATAAATTCATATTGTCCTTTCAAATCTTATAAATTCTATTAAAATCCAATCTTATGAAATCTTAATTGTAAAAAAAGTCTTTTAAAAATGTCTTTAAAGTCCCTCCAATTCTAAAATGTTTTTTAAAATCTGTAAGATTTTTTATCTCAAAAAAGTCTTTTAAAATCCTAATCCAATATACCCCCTAAGTCTATGTTTAAATATATTAGACTGACTTAACTTGTAACCTGTTATGAATATAATTAGTAATGGCTTAACTCAGCGATGGACCTATACTATTGCCACTATATGCAAGTGCAGACAATAACTTTTGCAAAATGATAAATTTCTTTCTGCCACTTCTTAGTCACTAGTTGGACTGCTTACACTATAATCAATGTTGTTAAAATCGAGATTTTAAGTAAAATCAAAAGGGGATTAAAAATTCGTAAAACGTAAAATCGTAATATAAAAAAAATCGTAAAAACGTAAAAGTGTTTGGAATATTAGTAAAATCGTTTTGATGAAAAAATTGTAAAAATATAAAATCGTAGTGATAAATCGAGATTTTAACAACAATGACTATAATGGGTAGCACACTAACCTGACGCTTTGTAAAATCCAATTGTCTTGTTAGTCACCAAAGAAATAATAGTTTTGTTACTTAAGTGTGAGGAGATGTGACATAATCAGTTTTTTAATAACCCAATAAGATATAAAATATGATATACCCTGTTGATCTGTCTTGTAATTTATTTATTTTTTAACTTTAGGAATTGTCCTATCTCATGACCCATAAAAACTTATTAAGATAATATCCGTTCAAGGAATTAATAAAGATTTTTATTTGATAAAGTAACTCAATGAAAAAAAAAAAACTTAGCTGTTATATGAATTGTACGTAGAAATTAGGGGTGTTCGCTGGATTGGATTGGTTTTGGAATCAAAAATCATCCAATCCAATCCCTTCGATTTGACCATGTAATCATTCATTCGGTTTGGACTTTTTTTTTTAAATCAGATCCGATCCAATCCAATTTTTTTCGGTTTGGATTGGATCGGTTTTCGGTTTTTTGAAAATCCTAAAATTTGTTTCATGCAGATAACATCTTTTGTATATATATTGGCTTTGTAAAAAAAATTTGAAATACAAAAGTATCAGTAAACGCTAATATAATTTTTTTTGGGGACATTGAGATATGAAGCTCTACGCAGATGAAATTTTGTTGATGAGATGTGATTAGGTTTTTTCTTGGGTTTAGTTGATGGGCTAATGAGTCTTGGGTTTAGGAATTTTTGGATTACGATTGGAGAAAGACCAAAGTAAGTAGAGGGGAATTAATATATTGGATCGGTTTTCATTAAGCAATCCGAAAACCAATCCAATCCAATTAAAAATTGCGGTTTTTTTCGGTTTTCGATTTTTCGGTTTTCGGTTTGTTCGGTTATCGGTTTTTCGGTTCG